ATACTATAAAAAGATAATTCTTATTTTTAAATATTATTATATGAAATTTTATTTAAATATTTTAAATATTAAAAAAAGTGAATCATAACTAAATTTATGCTATTTTTAAGCTAAATTGTTATACAAACTTTACAGCTTAAAAGATAGTGAAAATGTTTTGACAAAAATTAAGAAACTCGATCAACTTACTTTTAATATAACTATTCTATCGGCAAGCCAATGAAATTGTGTGAATTAATTGTATCTTAATCAGATTGATGCAGAGTCTTCAGATAATGAATAACGTTTTGTCTGACTTTATTTAGTTTATTATAAATATTTTCTGACATAACAGCTTATTGTTCTAAAATATAATCTCTTATAGATGAATTATTCAATTCAATATGTGTATAATAAGAACAAAAATTCATCTATTTAATGATTGCTTTATTAAATTTATAAATTTAGCAGTTCAAATTTTTTAATATGATCTTGTATATATACTAACATTTATAAGCTTTTTTGCATATTATGCCTTTGCAGTTTTAGAAAGCAGTTGCATAAATAATAAAGCTAAATTATACTTATTTCTCATTCATGTTAAAAATATTGCTAGCTTTAGAATAGTTGAGCTAAAACTAGTGATCAGGTTAATTAAATTTTTTAACATAAAGCGATGGTAGATTAAAAATCAATGATGGATCTTAAAGAATCTGTACATCGGAAAAAATAAGATGTCGAATAAATAAGAAATGAGATGGTGAAAAAAATAAAAAATGGGACATCAGAAAAAATGGAACGTCAGAAAAAATGAGATGTCAGAAAAATAGAAAAGAGGACTTTTTTTTTTTTTAAGTTTTTTTTAAGTTTTTTTTTTCTTTTTTTTCCTAAGCTAATTATTATTATTTTTTCTTAATTTTTACTCTTTTTTTTTTTTTTTTTCTTTTTTTTCTTAGGATGGTTCTTTTTGAATTTAGTTAAAACCTCCTGTAGACCCGCCTTATATTAGTTTTTTTTTTTTTTTTAGGGTAGTCTTTGGCTAGAACCATCTAATCGCATAAATTTGTTAAATAAAATCATTCAATTTAAATAAAGTCAGATGATTGAGCAATAATAATCCTTATTATAAATTGTTAATTGATACTGCTTCTAATATCGTCCTAACATGCCTAAAATTTCACAACGACAAAGACACTTATAAACGAATACTCAACTAGCACGAATAGGCTATTACTAAAGTTTTGGATAAAGAAATCGACGAACTATTCAAATTAATACAAGCCATAGAGTTGAATAGATATCTTACTATACATGAAAGAACAATTAAATTTAATGATTTTTTCAAGTAAGCTATATAAAAAAATCTAAGCGAAACTTTAATAAAAATAATTTAAGCGAAAGTTCAGTAATATAAACACTCATTTCATATTTATTTCCGAAATACGTTATTTTTTTAAATTCTGAAACCCCTTAATAACAAACCTTAATTTTATAATGAAAAATCGTCCAATTCGCTGTGTTATGTTATTTAAATTTTTATTTGTATAGTCTAACGAATTTTATTTCATTATAACAGTCTTAATTTTTTCAAAATATTTATAATCCTTATAATAGTATTTCGAAATTCTGTAATAGATTAAAGCAAACTGTAGAAAATTTTGGCCAAACACAAAATTGTTAAAAGCCTAATATAATTGTTTATAATCTTCTAGTAAAGGGCTAGCAGAAAACTGTATTTGCAATTTAATATAAAATTTTTTTTTTGACATTCTATTATTATCCTATCATATCGCTAAACTTTGCTAAATATGTAATATTTTAATACTATCGCAAAAATGTAAGATTTCCGCAAAGAAACAACTTTTGCAAGTTTCTGTAAAGTATCTTTCTCATTGTGATTAGTTTATGATTGTGATGGTGCTTAAATATCATAATAAATTAAAATATTGACTGCAATTATATTATTTTTCGAAGGTTTTATCATGAAATCAATCTTAAACATATTTCTAACAAAGTTACGTTAAAAAATTTTATGACACGTAAAAATTTGCTTTCGCTAAAAAATGCTTTTTTTTCTTTTTGTTCTGGATAAATTTCAATGGAATTTAAGTACTAACATGGAAGTATAAAGTATTTTAACGTAACTTTGTTAAAAATATGTTTAAGAATTGATATATACTAAACATTTGAAAAAATAATATAATTTCTTCTTTACATTTAAACCTTATATAAAGTGATAAACCACCCTGATAATTATCTCAATCATTAGATCCAAAAAAACTCCAATAATTAATTTTTACCATTGTTAAAATTATTGGAACCCTATATAAAATGTCGATTGTTCGTGTTTTTTTCACTAAAAATTTCGTAACGACAAGAAAAATTTCTTGATCAGATTAATATCCCAATAAGAATTGGTTGATATCATAACGGACAAATTTTTGCTTCACAACTATGGTATTCTATCGATAACAAGTATCGCCGATTTTTTACCGATGAGCTAATTTTTTGTGGGCAATCCCATAATTCCGAGTCGGAATGCATCGAAGTGAATAGGATATGGGGAAAGCCACCATTGGCATGTTCTAACCAATTTTAGGGTTTTTAATTCAAAAAGTATCATCTCTTATTTAACGGCGAATTGAAATCAAAAATTCTGGAATTGAAATTTCGTGTAACATAAACTAAAATTTTTAGTTATCTTGCCAGTCGATGCGTTACTACATATTTATTTCCTGTATAAGTTTGTCGCTTGCGCCAATGAGTTTACTATAACTAATTGGGTGGTTAGTACGTACGTATGACGTCATTATATGCACAAATGTTACAAGGGTGGGCTATGCAAGTTATGGTATCTTATACGTATTCACGAATAAAAATAATAAATAAATTATTGTTCGGATCCTGCCCTAGTATCAAACATAATTTTTCAACAATTATCATTATCTTTTCTAAAAGATGGATCAAACTTTTTCCTGTAGTCATTGTAAAAGAAAGGTGATCGGATATACAAAAAAATTATGCAGAACTAATTTACTCCCCAGTAAATCATCATCAAGCGGGAACGAAAATATTGATGAATTTATCAAATATACAAAGTCTAACAAAAAGCATTGCGACGATTTTATTGAGTGGATACCCTATTCTGATATTGAAATAAATAATGATCCAATCGTAAAAGGGGGTTTTTCAAAAATATTTATTGGCAAATGGCATCCAATAAAACAAGATTACGGTGTTGTCGATGATAAGGAGTTAATAAATATTGCCCTTAAAGTTTTGAATGGATCTAAAAATTTAGGACCAACATTTCTTAATGAAGTAACTACAGTATAAACATCAATAATTCGATTATTCATTGACCTTTACAAAATACGCAATAGTAAATTATTATTCTTTTAAATCATTTATTATAGTTTAAAATACATTACCAATGCCTTGGAACATGTGCTATACCTTTTTATGGTTTAACAATGCATCCAGAAATCGATGATTATGCGATGATTATGAAACACGCGATTCACGGTGATCTCTGGTAATTTATTAATAAATCTGAACTTACATGGCCAAAGAGAGTGGAGATTCTTTCTAAAATTGCGAAATCATTAAATACACTTCACGAATTAAACATAGTCCATCGAGATTTTCATTGCAGAAATATCCTCGTTGACGATGATACAAAAATATTTATTAGCGATTTTGGGGTTTCAAGCCCCGCTGATTCATCAAGTATTTATTTTATTTATTATAAACTAAAATTACGGTTAATATACTAAATCAATTAATTTTTCATAGAAATAGAAGAAGACATTGTTGGCGTTTTGCCTTATATTGCACCAGAAGTTCTCTGTGGCAAAATGTATACAAAGAAATCAGATATCTATAGTTTAGGAATAATTATGTGGGAACTAACATCTTCTAAGAGACCACTTTCAGACTTGCCCCATGATCGATATTTAGCTATAAAAATTGTCACTGATGAACTTCGACCAGAAATCGTGGGGGATACACCAAAAGCTTATATAAATATAATGAAACGATGTTGGGATGCAGATCCATCAAACAGGCCGGATTCATCGTTATTGATAAAAGAATATAAAGAAGTGTATGAAAAAATGATTAGCGATCCAGAGCATTTACGACCTTCTCCAAAGGTTACACCACGAGGTAATTAATCGTTTAGATGACGATAAAGCGATTTCCTATTGTTCGTATGATTAACGTAAATTCAATCTATAGCATATTTTTGGAATCCTTCTTCGGGTAATTTTACAGAATAAATAATTTTTTATAATAGTTAAATTTTAGAGTCAAATGTACGTTAGTAAAAATTTTTCATTTAAATAGATTCCCCACAAGTCAACTTATCAGGTATGGCAATAAGTTAAATCTTAGAGTCAAAAGTCGAATATACGTTAATAAAAATTTTTCATTTAAATAGATTCCCCACAAGTCGATTTATCAGGTATGGTAATAATATAGTTAAATCTTAGATTCAAAAGTCAAATATACGTTAATAAAATTTTTCATTTAAATAGATTCCCCACAAGTCAGCTTATCAGGTATGGTAATAGTATAGTTAAATCTTTGATTCAAAAGTCAAATATACATTAATAAAAATTTCATTTTAAAAGATTCCCACAAGTCAGCTTATCGGGTATGGTAATAATTCAGTTATATTTTATCCTTTAAACTGTCCTACTATCTATTAAAATATGCTACAATAGACTAAATTTACAGATCACTAGTGACAACATGCAAGCATATTTGCCTGAAAGACAGTTTAAGGGATAGTCGACGTTAAAAATATGTTAATTTGTTTCGCAAACCATTTTCAATTAAATAGGTTCCAGACCGATGAAATCTATTCGGGTAAATTTTATTTAAGATTAGCATAAATTCAAATTTATAGCATTTTGGAATTCTTTCTTGGATAATCATACAGAAAATATATACAATTTTGTTAAATTCTTTAAATTCAAGCATATGTCGTAAAAAATTTTCACTAAACAGATCTCGAACAAGCTAGCTTACCAGAACATGGTAAATTTATCTTTGACAGAGTAAAATGATACCTACGTATAATTCAATTACATTCTTATCCTTTAAACTGTCTTACTATCCGCAGTGAAACCTGAAATATTTTGCAATAGACTATGGCTCACGGATCACCGTGACAATTTTCAGAAAATTTTGCCTGAAAGACAATTTAAAGGATAGCCAAATTTCAAAAAAAATATTATTAATTCATTTCGCAAAAATTTGAAGGTCAATGGAAGGATAAATATAATAAAGCTCGTGAATATCTCTCAAAGACAATAGGAGAACCTGATGCTAAGAAAGAACTTTTGGAGTTCACAGATAATTATTTGATTGAAAATTGTGCCAAAAAAGCTATTAAAGATAAAAATAATTCTACTGCTGTACATATTCAACCATCAACAACTCCCGATAAACATGAAGCAGCAATATCTAAAAAAATCCATATGGGAGGAGCTTGTCCTGAATTTCCTAAAGGTGACGACTTTTATATTAAGTCGGCTATTTCATCTTCAGGCACTTCCTCCGCTCAAAACACTGTCATTGATGTTGAACATGGCTTTCTTGTGGCTTGGGGCGCGGTTAAAGACGGAATAAAAGTTATTGTTGCTCCACAAAAGAGGACTACTGAACATGACGGTTATCAGCTTTGGCATTATGAAGACGGCTTACTGATTAATAAACAAACAACTTTATATCTGGAGCCTGAATCAGGTAGGTTATCTTTATTATAGTAACACGTTACGCCAAAAAAAAATAATAATAATAAACGAGTGGAAATATCAATGAACATTTATCTGAGAAATTTCCTTACTATCGCTTCATACCTTTTTATAGTGAAAGCAGGAAGTCGTCTTATTCTTCATCATAGAAGAAGTGGAAGTCAAAGTGCTAACCAGAAATGGGTCCTTACCAAAGATGGACGTATTCAATTAAAAGATAAACAGTTCGTGTTTGAAGTTAAAGATAAACATGTTATTCTTGCTAAAGCTGGAAAACCCTCCAAGAATCCCTTGGCTTCACAATTTCATATAATGCCACTCCATCCTGTGAAGAAAGGTAATTTTCTATTTACTTTTTCAAAAGTTCGAAATTTATACTTCGGTTTTTTTTTTTAAAAAAAAAAATTAATTCATCAATTAATTATTTAAAACCATTATTAGGTGGTGCCGCTATTGGTGTTGTTAGGCTAGAATTGGTTGGTGCTAAAGGCTTAAAAGGTGCCGATACTTTCTTGGCTGGTGGTAAATATACTTTATTCTGTTCTCAAAATTTAAATTATTATTATGCTAATGTAATTTATCTCATTCAATTTAAATATTTAATTAAATTAATTAGGAAAATCTGACCCTTATGTTCGAGTATTCCATGTTGGTAACAACAAAGACATTATCGCTCAAACTAAAGTCATAGATAATAACTTGAATCCAGTGTGGAATGAAGTTCACTATTTACCTGTTAAATATATTGGTGAAAAGTTCATTTTGGATGTGATGGGTTTTAACACTTTTGTAAAAGATAACCCGCTTGGAAATTGCCATTTAAAAATTACTACTGAACTTGTTAAAGAAGTTTCAGATGGTGTTTATGAAGGAACTGTAAATAGTATTGACGTGTGAGTACGAGAATTTTTATTTATTAAAAATAAAAATAATAATGAAAAAATAATAATAATAAATAATATATATATATATTGATTTTCATTATCCTGATGTATATTATATATTTTTAGTACGGCAAAACTTACCATTCAAGGCCATCTTCATTATAAAGCGAAATTCTTCCCATTGGAACCTTTTCCAAAACCTACTCCCAATTATCTTACCAATCTTAAAGGAAAACCTTTTGGTCGTTCAACATTTTATGTTCTTATCACACTACAAGCTCCAAATGGTGGTTTTCCTCCTTCTGATATATTAGTCAATCTATTTGGTTTTGAATCTAAAGAACAACTTTTAAAATTATATAAATCTCATTGTTGTGAAGAGCGCATTTTAAAGCACAATAATCATACCGTATGGACCACTAGCATGATCTTATGGTTCTTACGTTTCTTATTAAAAGATTACAGGAGTGAATGGGGTAGTATTTATGAACGTGCTGAACAGTTTATTAGTAAAGAAATTAATGATTTAGAAATGGAAGAAGCTGTAGTTGCTAGCGGCAGGAAAGCCGTCCGTGAAAGATTTGATATTGGTGAACCTGGTATGTAATATATTTTTCTATTTTAAATTATTAATTATTATTATTATTAATTATAATTATATTTACTAATAAACTTGTTATTAACTTAAAAAAAAATAGATTCCAAATCTAGACGAATTACTAGAGACACTATTTCAATTGCACATGTTAGACGTGTTCTTAAATGTCAACAAAATACTGGCGCATATTACTTTACTGATAACCTTGCGAAATCCTTTGGTTATGAAAATGCTGAAAAGCTTCAAACTGCGTTCTATGAATATAGAAATAGTAAAACCAAATCACAAAAAATTTCTCAAATTAGTTCCTCAGTTTGGGCAACAATGATGGCACTTTATTTCTACCGTTATGTTGCTGTCGATCAAAAGAAAGAATGGTTCCAAACCTATGAAAGGTCTTACAGATGGTTATGGGCTCAATTAAAGGGTAATGAAGCCCTTGAACAAGAATGTTTTCAAATTGTTAAATCATTTATCAAAGACTTTCATGGTGTATGTGGTGATGTTGTGGAGATGGATCGTAACTTTGAAACGGAAATTGCTGACATGATAGACTCTATTAAGAACCCACAAAAAGATCGAGGAATTGGTAATAAAAATTTATCTTTAATTTCTTCTCTCATTTCTTTAATGTTATTGATATCTATTTATTTATTTATTTTTAAATTTTATATGATTAAAAGTTCAAAAACCTTATGGTATCGCTCGTATCGAAATTAAAAGTGCCAGAAACCTGAAACAAGCCGATTCATGGCTTGCTGGTAGTGCTTCCGACCCATATATTAGAATATCTAACTTTTCCACAAATTGGGTTTATGGGGATTCACGTGTCATTTACAACAACTGCGATCCCGTTTGGGATCAAGTGTTTTATATTCCAGTTTATGATATTCATGAAAAATTCAATTTACAAGTCTTCGACTATAACGCTTTCTTTAAACATAAACTTTTGGGATTTTATATTCTTGATCTCAAAAATATAATTAAAGAGCTTCCTAATGGTTCTTATGAAGGAAAGAAATTAAAACTTGATGCCAATCTCACTTATAAAGGAAGCAACAGAGGTCAATTTTCATTTGTTGCTGGCTTCTTTTCGCTCCCCGAATCAGATCAAATGGAAGCAATTACAATAAATAATGGCTCAATTCAACATTTATATCTCTTGATGACCTATCAAAGTCAATATGGTTACTTTGAACTTACTGACTCTTTAGCAAAGTTATTCAACTTCAACTCTAAGGAGGAACTTGCTAAAGCCTTTTCTGATTTTGTACAAAAGGATGAGGGGGTTCGTAATTTGGATAACAGAATTTGGGCTACAGTTCTTGTCACATCTTTCCTTAAAGTATTATTGTGGAAAGAACGTCGTGAGTGGGTGAATGTTTACAACAGAGCTGAAAGTTGGTTGAGTGAAAATGTACCCGATGTTGAGGTTGAAGAACGTCTTTATAATTACTCGAACAAATTCGTTATTCACCTCTTTAAAGCCACTCAATGGGCAGATGAGAATCAACAAAGAAGTTTGGGTATTCTAGGTAAGAAAAAAAATTTTTTTGTTAACGATACAGAATGAATTACATATTAATCGATAAACTAAAAGTTATGAAATTAGTTTTTATAATTTTATTATTATGATTATATTAACGAATGAAACAATGCCTAGCGCTAGGAAATACTACATAATTTTGATTTATCGATTTGCATGTGATTGGAATGTTTTAATCAATATACTGATATATATTATTAATAATTTCCTATTTCCTATTGTCATAGTTATTTCTAAGCAATCAATTATTACTCTACGACATGTTGATATACGTGTTGTCCGTCGGTTCCTCAGTTACCAGAATGAATCTGGTTGTTTCGAACTCACCCCACAATTAGCAAAAGCTTTGGGCTTCAGCTCTGTTAAAGAAGCTAATAAATATATTGAAACTCATTTTTTATCCTACTCACCAAGACTTGCTCAATTTAATCCTAACATTTGGAGTACTGCTATTATGACTTGGTTCATTCGATATGTATTAGTTGACTTCAGAAATGAGTGGGTAGGTTCATACCAAAAAGCACAGAAATGGCTTTGTCAACAAGTACCAGACGAGAAAGTACGAGAGGAACTTCTTGAGGCTGCTAGAATCTTTGTTGTTAAAAGATTTGAAGTTGAACCGGATGCTATAAGCGAAGATGAAAGTTTCAAGGAATCTATAGAAGCTAATGAAAAGAAACGTGAAATTGTTGAAGAGCACGATGAAGAAGAACAACCAATTCCTAATGATGAAGTTGTTGGAATAATTAGAATCTGTGTTAAAGATGCCAAAAATCTCAAGAAATCCGATAGTTGGTTTACCTTTGCTAACCCTGATCCGTACATTCGCATTATGGATGCTGCCGGAAATGAAATAGTTCGCACTAAGGTTAACCATGGAACCATTAATCCAAAATGGAATGAAGTTCATTTACTTTCTGCTCATGGTTGTGGAGAAAAAATTTCGTTTGAAATCTTTGATGAAAATCTTTTTATAGCGGACAAACCTCTCGGTACCTATGTATTGGACACTACCATTTTACTAAAAAGTGAGGATCAATCTAAACCTTTGAGTGGTTCGTTCCCACTTCAAATTGGTCAAAAGCCAGTTAGAGGACAATTAAACTTGGACATTCAATTTTTCCCAATCAGTTTCACCGAGGGTGAAAACTTTGAGTTTTCAAAAGATACTATTAAACAACAGCATTTATACATGCTTATTAGCTGGCGCCATGCGAATGGATCTTGGGAATTTACTGATAAATTGGCGCGTTTCTTTAATTATAAATCTGCTGAAGAATTGAAACAAGCTTTCCTTGCTCACTTAACTTCTTCAGACAAAGATCTCTTAAAATATGACTTGTCTATATTGGCGACAGCTCTTACGATTATGTATCTCAAGGTTTTATGTTGGAAACATTATGGTGAATGGAAACGAATTGTTGCAAACAGTGAATCGTGGCTCAGCAAAGAAATTAACAATATTGATTGCGAGGATCGTTTATATGATTTATGTAGAAAATTCATTGTTGAACGTTTCAAAGTTAAGAATTTCGAAAAAGAACAATTGGAAATCATCGAACCTGGTAGGAAATCTATTTATAATAATGGTCTTTTTTAATTAATGAAAGTGACTTATGTGATATATTACTTTTTAGCCAAACAAACCATCATTACTCGAAAGGTTATCACTATCCGTCATGTTCGTACACTTCTTTCTCATCAATCTGACGACGGTTGTATTGAATTAAACGAAAAAGTGGCTGAATTCTTTGGATTCAAAAGTGTCGATGAATTTAAACAACACTTGGAAAAACATTTTAAAACAGAACGTGTCAACAAACTTCACCATAATGCTTGGGTTACTGCCTGCGTGGTTTGGTACCTACGTTTAGTTGCTCTTGATCACCGACATGAATGGATCGGTAATTATGAAAAATCATCAGAATGGTTAAAAAAACTATGCAAAGGAGATACTGCTCTTGAAAGTGAAATTAATGATTGCGCCAAGAAATTCATTATTTCAAGATATGAAGTTGACAATGATGCTATTGAAGCTGATACTAGCTTCATTGCAGCTATTAAGACCAAAGATGCTGCAATAGCAGAAGAAAAGAATGAAATTAGGAGACGAAAGAAAGGTATATTTTTAATCATTTAATTAATTGTTTCTTTTAAATTCTGTAAATTTTTTGTTTACAATACTTGTATTTTTCTTTTTTTCGAAATTTAGGAAGCACGCATCGCAAAACAATCTCCTTATCTGGTAATGTTGTTAATCGAAATACTACCACTGACGCTGTTGTTAAAAAATTCATTACATACCGTCCAAAGGATAGTTGTTATTCACTTAATGATGAAATTGCGAAACATCTTGGATTCTATGATAAAGCATCCCTGGAATCAGCATTACGAAGTCACTTTATCTCTGATAATTTATCAAAACTTGATATTGATACATTGCTCAGTGCAGTAGGGATATGGTATTTACGTTTATTGGGTGTAGACCATCGTGATCATTGGTCTGGTGAATGTGATGAATTATATAAATTGTTACATTCACGAATTAACAATCCTCAAATTGAACGTGAATTGCTGGGATCTGCCAAACAATTTATTATCAGAAGTTATAATGTTGAGGACGATGCTATTCAAAAGGATGATGAATATCAAGGTAATCTTGAGCCTTATTTACAAATGAGAAAAGTTCAATTGTATTATTACTAACTTATTATTTGTATTGATGGGTTTATTAGAACATTTGAACCGTACCTCAGACATTGAAAGTTGTAAAACATTTGTTATAGACAAATCAGACAAATCGGCCGGCAAAAAACTTGAAGCCGCCGCAGAGAATATCATACCAAGAACTGTAGAAGCTGCTAAAAAAGATGCTAACGCTGCTGTTAAAGATGTTAAAAACTTTTTCGGTGGCCTTTATGAAGCGGCTTCTAAACTTGGCGACAAGGTTGAAGATAAGGTTGAAGATGCCTTAACATTTGATAAAAACAAGCATGATGATCATGAGAAAGCGGAAGCTCTTATTGTTGTTGAACAATTAGCCACTCCCGAAAAGTGCAATGAAGTCGTCTCGGATCAAAAAGATGATGGCTGCATTGAATTAGGCGATTCAGTTTGTAATGAACTAGATGCTCCTAAAGAAGAAATCATTACAACAATTCAAAAGAAGATTAAAAATAATAAACTTAAATCGCCAGAGTTGTTATCAAGTCTTGGAACTGCTATTAACATTTCATACCTTAAGAAAGCTGCACCCCAACATGAAAGTTTATGGAAAGATAAATATGATAAAGCCCGTAAATATCTTTCTCAACAAATAGGAGATGCTGAAGCAGAAAAAGAACTTTTAAAATTGGCGGATGATTATGTAGTTGAAAATAGTATAAAGAAAGTGATTAAAAATAAAAAGAGAAATGCAGTATCTAATGTGCGAAATTTAGCTACACCAGAAAAGTGCAACGATGCATTATCTAAACAAAAGGATGATGGCTCTTTTGAAATTAGTGAGACGGTTTGTGAAGAAATAGATGTTCCTATTGTAGACGTAGTACCTACAGTAAAGAAATCTACACAACATAAGAAACTCAGATCACCCGAATCAGAGCCGTGGTGGAAAACAGCACTTACTCTTAGTTACCTTAAAATTGCTGCACCACATCATAAAAAACTATGGGAAGATAAATACAATAAAGCCCGCGATTATCTTTCAAAACAAATCGGAGATAAAGATGCTGAGAAAGAATTATTAGATTGTACTGATAAGTACGTTGTTGATAATGTCACTAAGAAGTATGAGAAAGATCAGAAGAAGACTGCTGCACTTCCTATTGTTCGAGAAAAAGTTTCTCCCGAGAAACACAAGGAAATTGTATCTAAACAAAATGATGATGGCTGTATTGAATTAGATGATTCAGTATGCAAAGAATTAGGTGTTCCTAAGGAAGAAGTTATTACTACAATTAGAAAGAAAATTAAAAATAATAAACTTAAATCACCCGAACATTCATCAAGTCTTGCCACTGCAATTAATATTTCATACCTTAAGAATGCTGCACCTCATCACGAAGGTTCATGGAAAGAAAAATATGACAAAGCCCGTGAATATCTTTCTAAGCAAATCGGAGATAAAGATGCTGAAGAGGAATTAATAAAATGTACCGATGAGTACGTAGTTGATAAAGTAACTGAAAAAGTAATTGAGGAAAAGAAACGTGATGTAATTGATATTAAGAAAGAAGAAATACCTAAATCTGAAAAAGGCAAAAGCTTTTTCGGTGGTCTTTATGAAACACCTAAATCTGAAAAAGGCAAAAGCTTTTTCGGTGGTGTTTATGAAACAGTTTCTTCTAAGATTGGTGAGATTGGTGATCATCTTGAAGATGCTTTCTCGGTTGATAAAGACAAACATGATGATCATGAAAAAGCAGAAGCTCTCGTTATCGTTGAAGAATCAGCCACTCCTGAAAAATGTAAGGAAATCGTTTCAAATCAGAAAGATGATGGCTGCATTGAATTAGGTGATTCAGTTTGTAATGAACTAGATGCTCCTAAAGATGAAATCATTACATCAATTCAAAAGAATATTAAAAATGATAGACTTAAAGCACCCGAGCGTAAACCAAGTCTTGAAACTGCCGTTAATCTTGCATACCTTAAGAAAGCCGCATCTCAGTATGGAAATATATGGAATGATAAATATAATAAAGCCCGTGAATATCTTTCTAAACAAATAGGAGATTCTAAAGCCGAAAAAGAACTTTTAGATTTGGCGGATGATTATGTAGTTGAAAATAGTATAAAGAAAGTGATTAAAGATAAAAAGAGAAATGCAGTAGCTAAAGCGAGAGATTCAGCCACACCAGAAAAATGCAACGATATAGTATCTAAACAAAAGGATGACGGATCTTTTGAAATTAATGAGACGATCTGTGAAGAAATAGAAATTCCTCTTGATGTAGTACCTGTAGTAAAGAAATGTACACAAAACGAAAAACTTAAATCACCCGAATCAGAGCCGTGGTGGAAAACAGCAATTACTCTTAGTTACCTTAAAATCGCTGCACCACATCATAAAAAACTATGGGAAGATAAATACAATAAGGCCCGTGATTATCTTTCTAAACAAATCGGGGATAAAGATGCTGAGAAGGAATTATTAAATTGCACTGATAAATATGTAGTTGATAATGCTACTAAAAAGTTTGAAAAAGATCATAAAAAAGACGTTGCAATTACCATCATTCGAGAAGAAGCTTCTCCCGAGAAATGTGAGGAAATTGTATCTAAACAAAATGATAATGGTTGTATTGAATTAGATGATTCGGTATGCAATGAATTAGACACCCCTAAAGAAGAAGTTATTTCTGCAATTCAAAAGAAAGTTAAAAATAATAGACTTAAATTACCCGAGCGTAAACCAAGTCTTGAAACTGCTATTAACATTTCATACCTTAAGAATACTGCACCCCATCACGAAGATTTATGGAAGGAAAAATATGATAAAGCCCGTGAATACCTTTCTAATGAAATTGGAGATAAAAATGCTGAAGAGGAGTTAATAAAATGTGCCGATGAATACGTAATGGATAAAATAACAGACAAAGTAATTGAAGAAAAGAAACGTGATGTAATTGATCTCAAGGAACATGAAATACCTAAAAAGCCTAAAGGCTTTTTCGGTGGTATTTATGAATTGGTTGCTAACCTTGGAGGACATATTGAACGTGCCCTTGGATTTAAAAGAAAACTTAACCAACACGAGAAAGCAGAAGCTCTCGTTATCGTTGAAGAAACAGCCACTCCTGAAAAATGTAAGGAAATCATAGCGAAACAACATGACGACGGTTCTATCGAATTGGGTGATTCAGTTTGTAATGAACTAGATGTTCCTAAAGAAGAAATCATTACAACAATTCAAAAGAATATTAAAAATGCTAAACTTCAATCACCCGAGCATTCATCAAGTCTTGCAACTGCAATTAATCTTGCATACCTTAAGAAAGCCGCATCCCGGCATGAGGGCTTATGGAGAGACAAATATAATGCAGCCCGTGAATATCTAACAAAAGAAATAGGAGATGCTAACGCAGAACAAGAACTTTTAGATTTTGCGGATGATTTTGTAATTGAAAATGCCACAAGGAAAGTAGTTAAAGATAAAAGGAGAAATTCAGTGGATAGGGTGCAAAAGGCAACTACACCAGAAAAATGCAATGATGCTGTATCTGAACAAAATAATGACGGATCTTTTGAAATTAGTGAGACAGTTTGTAAAGAATTAGACGTTCCCATTACAGATATCGTAAATACATTAAAGAACGATACACAAAATGAGAAATTTAAATCACCCGAATCAGAGCCGTGGTGGAAAACAGCACTTACTCTTAGTTACCTTAGAATCGCTGCACCACATCACAAGAAACTATGGGGAGATAAATACAATCAAGCTCTCGATTATCTTTCTAAACAAATTGGAGATGCAGCAGCAGAAGAATTATTAGATTGCACCGACAAATATGTCGTTGATAATTTCACCAATAAGGTTGAGAAAGATCATAAAAAAGATATTGCAATTGCTGTTGTTCAAGAAGCAGCTTCTCCCGACAAACACAAAGAAATTGTATCTCAACAAAAAGATGATGGTTGTATTGAATTGGATGATTCAGTATGTAATGAACTAGGTGCTCCCAAGGAAGAAATTATTACTACTATTCAAAAGAAAGTTAAAAATAATAAACTTAAATCACCCGAGCATTCATCAAGTCTTGCAACCGCTATAAACCTTTCATATCTAAAAAATGCTGCGGCTAAATATGAAGGCGAATGGAGAGATAAATATAATAAGGCTCGTGAATATCTTTCTAAACAAATTGGAGATAAAGATGCTGAAAAAGAATTAATAGAATGTGCTGATGAGTATGTAATTGATAAAACAACAAACAAAGTAATTGAAGAAAAGAACCGTGATGTAATTGAACTTAAGAAAGATGAAATACCAAAAGCCGAAAAAGCTGAAGGCAAAAGCTTTTTCGGTGGTCTTTATGAGAAGGCTGCCAAACTTGGTGATCAACTTGAAAATGCCCTTACATTTGATAAGGACA